AGCAGGATTTATGCCTTACCCCCATCTACCTTGGGCATCTGTGAAAATAAAAGTGAAATGCCATTAGGATTTAAGAGAGAATACTCTGGAAATTACAGGTTTCAGAGCTATCATGTTTCCTTCTTTCTACCTCTGAATTCACTTGACTTTGGGTTTGAAGAATTCTTTTTTTTTTCTTTTCAGCTCAGTAAAGCATTAAAAATTTATTATTTTATTCAGTAGTTTATTTGTAAGCATTTAAACCCACAATATTGCTAGAAATAGAATTCTGGTTGATATTTTAGTTCAGAACTTTCCTTTTTAGCTAATCCTCAAGCCACAGTAGGATAGTAGGTCCAAAATAACTACTATTATAGTTGATGCTGTGTAACTGCCTGATGATAATTATATAATTTGCAGTTATTTGATTTAATCCCCCTACAATTATGTCATGAACCTGTAGCATTTTCAAAGCATAAGGATAAAGGCAACAGAAACAAAACTTCCATATAAAATAAAAATTGAATCATGCTGAATATGATTTAGTGAACTAGAGAGCTCATTTTTAACAATCTGAACCCCCTCCTGCCCCTGCCCTGCCAAGGCTCTGGTTTTCTTTGCATACACCTTCTTAAGGATAGGCTCACTGCTGAAGTAAATCAGATGCCTAAGCCTGAGTACTAAATGATAATGTTGGTTAAACCATTAACTCTTGCACTGGGTTGGATATCCCCTACATATCTCTTTCTAGGTGCTCTATTAGGTTTCTTTTTCTGAGTACTTACTATTTACATTAACTATATTAAATCTCTTAACTTCTCTTTTAGTTTTTGTAACTTTCATTTGACAATATTATTTTCTGTTCAGAATATTCATCAATATATCCATCCAGTCAACTGGCATTAAAAAGTGGACTTGACTACTGCAACTTAAAACAGTATAATACTATTTTTTAGAAATATACCAAATAACCAAAATAGGAAATCTAGAAGGTTCCAAATTAAAGTTATCATAGTCCTTCTTCCTAGCATGTAGCCCTCAACTTCATTTTTTAACAGATTTCAAACATTTTAGGATTGTGCTAGATACTTTTTTTGTGACTATTTGATGAAACAGCTCCTTTGAGTCTACTGTGGTATGGAGCTATTTACACTTGAGCTCTGGGAATATTCTGACCAACATCACTTCTGTTTGTACTGTGGTAATATGTGTCTCTTTGTAAGGCTTTTTGAGTTGAAAAATCATCCTCAACTTAATACTTTAAAAGAATGAAAATAATCCAACTATGGTATTTTGAGATAGGATCTTTGGGAAGTTATTAGGATAAGTTAAGGTCATTAGGGTGGGATCTCTCCCTTTTTGATATCCTGTACCACCTTAAAACACCATGGTGAAAAAGCCATCTCTTGATATGGCCCTTCAATCTTGGACCTCAATTAGCCAACAAAACAAAAACAAACAAACAAAAAAAACTTTGTTATAAATCACCCAACCTGTGGTATTGTTAGGGCCACAAAGAATGGACTAATACAGTTGACAACAGTAACTATTTTAAATCAAAATATGTTCTACTTTGCTCAAGAAAAAGTACTTAATCCCTTTAAATTTCCCAGTTATAATACTTATCCATCAATGATGAAGACCTATCTCTGTCTAAGGTTCCTGTTTATTCTTCTTTTGGATTAAGTAAATCATTTCATTCTATTTTACCTACTCAATTAGCTTGTTAGTTATATACTCTCTTACCACTTATTTGATATCAAAGATTTTAATATACATCCTCAACTTATATCAAGTGACTATATTTATATTGCCAAGAACAACTCAAGGCAATCAGAACATTTTAACTTTATTTACTTATCTCTGACTGATATGCTATTTTTATATATGATTTTGCTTTTATAGTTTTATATAGTCAATTTTCATTTAGATTTAGCCCCACTTATTTTTCCTATTATTTTATATATTTTTTCCTGTATCTTAAAACTCAATCTGGGGTAATTTTCTTTGTGCCTTAATCCTTTAGTATTTCTTTTAGGTCTGCATGCTAGTTTGCATATTTGCCGTTTTTGTGTGTCTCAAAATGTCTTTACATCGCCTACATTGTAGCTGACTTTCTTCTTGCATCTCAAAGATATACTAACTTCTGGTTTCACTGTTTAACCCAAGAATTTAGTGGTCATTTTAACTGTATTCCTTTGAAGATATCTTGTCTTCCCCCTTTTCCTTTCTGCCATCTCTGACTGCTTTAAGAATTTTCTCTTTGGTTTCATTTTTGGCAATCCTTTTTTTTCTTTCATTTTATTTATTTTTGGTACTGGGGATTGAACTGAGGCTTAGCACCACTAAACTATATCCCTAGTCCTTTATATTTTTTAATTTTGAGACAGGGTCTTGGCTAAGTTGCTGGGGCTGGACTTGGACTTGCCATTCTTCCACCTCAGCCTCCCAAATTGCTGGGATTACAGGTGTGCATCACTGTGCCTGACCTGTTTTCAGCAATCTTAATATTATATGTCTAGAAGTTGGTGGTTCTTGTATTTCTTCTTCTTTGTCGTCGTCTTCTATTATTATTATTATTATTTTTGCCTTTGCCAAAGGGTTTATGTTCTTGTTAAATCTGGGGATCTACATATTTTATTTCTTAAGATTGGAAAATTCCAAACATTTCTATTGCCCAATTTAATCTTCCTTCAAGAATGTTTTGTTAGTACCCACTTGTGTTTCTGGATTGCTAGCTTTTCCAGTTCCAATTCTGAACTATATAATCAAAAAGAAAACCCAAGAAATTTATCATGTTCTGAAATCCAGAGCCAGTCTTCCTTACTCTCTCCATCTTTCAGAGTCTTCTACTGTTTGTAGTATATAATGTGCAGGGTTTTAATTATACTTAGCAAGAAAACCGACAAGAAGTATATCCCTTTCATTTTCCCAGAGTGTAAGTCTCTCCATTATAGTTATTTTTCTTTGGATCTACTAGAGGCCTATTTCTATTAACTGTATGGTTTACTTTAGATTCTGGCCATGTTGTCTTGTTTCATACCATGAATGGTTTAGATTAACTGCCAGATGCTGTAGGTAATAAACTGTCGTGATAATTTGAGGTCCAGATTTATATTATTGTTGTCCAGAGAGAATATGCTTTTTGCAGAGAGCTAATGGAAGCAATAATCAGAAACACCATAATGGAAGCTTCAGATGATTTGAAGTGGGACTTTAGTCCATCTTGGAAATGTTGTATATCTAATTCTTATGGTGTGACCCTTTAGAGATCTAACTCAATGTATGAGTGGTTTACTTGGCTTACTCTTGAGTCTTCATCCAGGTAGAACATGAACTTTAACTTCTGCCTCACTAGAACTGTCATTCTGTTGAAAGCTGGGCTCAGTCTGTCTTGTCTGTTGACTGGCAGACAGCTGACTACTAATAAATTGGCAGATGCCTCCAGACATTTAAGATGAATGTTTAGGGTCGGAAAAAGAAACTTAATAGGATGCAATGTTACAGAAGATAGTGAGCAAGAAAGTTTAGAGAATAAACAATTATCAACATGGTCCAATGAGGATGAAAGACAAATGAGGCTTTGGGATAAAATAAATCTTATAATACATACCATTTATTTTCTGTGTATTAAAGGAAGGCAGGACTATGGAATGTTAGAAAGTCAGATTTTTAATTGAGAGAATGACTGAGAAAAGAATGGAGACAAATTTAAGAGGTCAACAAGAGACCATTAAACAAATCAATGAATACATCTGAAGTTTTAAAAGAAGGCAAGGAATCAATATTTGTGTGGACTCAAGTTTGCACAATTTTAGGAATACTTTTTCAACAAGGATGGCATCTTTGGGTGGGCTCAAGAAAGAAAACTGGTCTTCAGGAGAACATGAAGAATTCACTTTTTTAGATACATCGAAGATTGGTAAATTTATAGAAAAGGGAATAGAGATGAAGATGATGATTTGGGCCAGGAACAGTGAGTGGCACATAACTATAATACCAGTGGCTCCAGAGGCTGAGACAAGAGGATTTCAAGCTCAAGGCCAGCCTCAGCAATTTAGCAAGGCCCTAAGCAATTTAGTGAGATCCTGCCTTAAAAAAGTTGGAGATGTAGCTCAGTGGTAAGCTGCCCCGGGGTTAAATTCCCAGTACCAATCCCCAACCTCTACCCCAAATATAAAGATTTGGAAGTTATTTGCATAGAAATTATAGTTGAAACCAATAGTTTATGTAGATATATGCACATATGAATTTCTATCAAGAGTTTTTTTCTTGCCAAGAGATAGCTAATTTAAATTCTTCAATATCTGCCAAATACATTGTTTTTTGAGTACCTAAAAATCACCCTACTTGAATTTAAAGAAGAATCCTTCTTTGCACCAAGTGACTACCACAATCCTAAAATTATAATTAGCAAAACAACATTCATGCAATTTGCCAAGATTACAAATATATGCTTGAATAAAGAAAATTTTAAACCAATATTATGAAAAAATTCAACTACTTGCCTTTCTATATATTCAGTAAATTATTTGGAGAAAACAGACACACACACACACACACACACACACACACACACACACACACACACCAAAAATATAATGCTGGGCTACTAGTGAATCAATAGAGATTAGAATGGCTATAATGGTTGCCTATGATTGAGATTTGTTCAAGTGAGTTAAATGTTATGCTGCTCTGGTTGTGAAACATCTAAAAATAACTCCTACTCAAATATTCAATTAATTATTTACACATAATATTTTAATACTTCAAAAGTTTTAAAGTACACTTTAAATATATCACTTTAGCATTACAAAAACCTTTCAGGAAAAGAAAGAATTATTAGAATTCACACATTAAAAATGAGTTAACTAAGATAATGTGACTACATCTTCTTTACTTACATTAGCTCAAATTCATAGCTTTTATTTTTTACTAATAATTGACCCTTAAAAAATTCACTTGAAGACTAAAAATAATTTCACTTATGAGTTATTCTTATTAAAATAAAATCTTCATACCATTTTGTGATGCCATAACAATCTTTAATAATATCCTGAAGAACAGCACGATAGAAGAGTGATTCAGTAGGCAGCTGAAAAAAAGGCAGACAAAAACCAGAAATCAAATTAATATTAGAGAGCTGGGACCATCGTGAATGTGAGAAACTTGACTTTGCTGTTAAACATAGAGGGGGATATTGTAATGTCTCCATTCTAACTCACAGTACTATCCTAAGATTATTTCTTACTCTGAAACGAATTCTGCAAGAAAACAGAAGAAACCAAAAGAGAAATAGTAGTAAATGACAAAGATAAGTCTAAATCAATGAAAAATAAGCTAGTAACCCAAATGGAGTTCTTATCACATACAAATGTACAAATACACTTTTAACACAAGCTACTCAGTTCTGAAGCCTATAGGAGTCAGAAAGGATATGTGTAAAAGAGGAAAGAATGGCTTTGACCTAAGATATTATGGACTAGGATTCACATACTGAGAAGATACTACCTATGTTAGGAAATATTAAAAATATGTCTGAAGACTGTAAGATCATAACTTCGGCTACTGCAGAGTCTTGGAAAGGTCAAAAGAAACTGAGTTCTTGGAAAGACAGCTCTTCTGGGGTACTGAGAGATAGGCACTGTCCCACCAGGATTCAGAGGATTTTGAAAAGAAAGAAGGGGGGAGAAGCTGACGAAGTCCTCAATAAAACCTAATAGCTTCAAAGACACAGAAAGTAAAAAAAGTACTGTAGTATTTCTTAGAGAAATAATACTTCGGTGCAAAACAGAGATGGTACTCCTGAATTAAGAAATTACAAAGGACACCAAAATCCCATCCATATCCCTACAGATCTCTTGATACTGATAGTACAGAAATATCCAACACAAAACAATGTCAGCAATAATAATCTAGAGTTCCTGAAAAGTTACTATTGAAAAAAGAAAAGAAAGAGAAAATGAACTAAAGAGGTCAACAATAATGAATGCTTTTGTGAAGTCAAATAAGGTCCAACTAAGTCAAATTATGTCCTAACGGTCCAACAACTGGCAGTTTCAGACTTCACTAATTTAAAAACTTTTCTTCCCTTGAAGTCTCTGACATACATTTCATTTTGATTTCTTAAGTCCAGACATATTTTCCATTTGACATTTTCTCATCTTGAGAAATATACTGTTACAGTTCCAAAGTCTTACTTTATGATCTATCCCTTATTTCTTTGAACATCACTTTTCTCCCCAAAATGCTGAAATCCCTTTTCATACATTAACACTTAATCTGGAAATATTCAATTGAAATTCAAGGCATTTTGTTAAAAATACTATTGCATGAACTAAAATATTCTTTGTATATAAACTACTTAAAAAATTCTTAACTTTATGTCTGATTATCTATAATACATAAGAACTTCAATTTTATATGAAATGCCTAAAAATGATTAAAATGTCTTTATCATGCCTTTGAGAAAAATCATAAATGACATCAACATAATTTATAAAAAATGTACATATTTTTATGAAAAACAAAGTGTAGAATGACAGCAACAAAAGATTAAGACATGTATTTTAAGCAAAAGAACAGACATAAATGGAATGCACAGAGAAATGCAGACAGGATAGGAAAAATCATCATTCCCAAGTTACCCTGAGTATATAAAAGGCTTTACAGCTGTTTCCTAAGAGAAAAAGAAGAGAGTTATGTAGTGCCTTCAAATGAACATTCCTAGAATAACTAGGACTGTCCATCCTGGTAAATACAGAGTGGGATGAGTGGGAAAGGAGTCAACATCTCCTAAACAGTCTGACTATTCCAGAAAAAAACTGCATGTAGTTCAGAGTTTATGTTCTTTCCCTCACAAGTGATAAATGTACTTAACATTTTTAATGCATTTTAAATATGGGAGGAAACAAAAAGTGTACACCCTTAAAGCATATGTATCAGACATGCATTTTACAGATCTAGTGGAAAAGGCACTAAGCTAGAAATTAGGGCTCTGTAATTAATTCAGGATGCTAGAACACAATTAAAATGCTGCTGTATAGCAAGTCTGCATATAAGTTTGGCACAATAACCAACTCATACGATTGACTGGAAGCATGAGCAAACACTTGGAAAATTAAAAACACCACACCATTGGAGCATTATGATGATAATCCCTAGGGAATCACTAAGGTGATATGTAGTACAGTAGTTAAGAGCATGGAATCCAGAGAGAGAGAGATTGATTCAAATCTCAGCATTAAACTACTTTACTGTTTCTTCATGTATATCCTGGGATAATAACAGTACGTATTTCATAATTCTATGTATTTATTACCTATAGATAAGAAGAACTTTGAGCAGTACTTTGGTAAGCTCTATGTGAGATTTAACTGTTATTTTCATGATTAAAATGATTACTGATCACAACAAGTGTAGACATTTACTTTGCACTTACTATGTACTAGCCATTGTTTTACACATTTCACATGCTTCATTATTTACTTGAAATGACAATATTATGAGCAAACTATTACTGGTATTAGTGTCACTTCTCCTACTTTACAGATAAAGAAATTATGATGTGTCCTAGGTCATTAAACCAGTTAGTGATGATGACTGGATGCAAAACAGCAGTCTAAGACTAAAACCCACACACTTAATAAATTCTAAAACTTGATAAAAAATGATGACTTCACAAAGACCAGTTTTTATCACTTTTTAGATAGGTACATTAATATATTAAAAAAAAAATTGCAAAACATACACAATACCTGTCAATGTTCTTTGCCTAGGGTGAGCATATAATAAATGACACTTGTTATTGCTATTATTATTTTAAAACTATTATTAATTTAAAAAGTATAAATTGACATTATTAATGTTTATTGAAAACAAGCAAAAAAGAGATTTCTAAAATTAGGTCTAATAAAAATAATTTTGTGATAAGCTTAAAAGAAACTCTTAAAATAGTCCTAATATGTTTCATGAAGACAAGGTAGAACAATGCAATCATGTGAATATTTGAGAGAGTAAACTTTTGTTTATACCTGCAAAACCATTTGGCTGTTGCAATTAATGACTGAGTGAATGAAAAAAAATATCAATCAAATAATTTCTTTGTTTTGTATTACAGATAAAGAATACACTGAATGTTATACCTTGTTTATCTTTGCTTGAACTAAGGCTATAAATTCCTGGTCAGTTGGCAACATTATGTCTCCAGAAATATTTATAGGCCATATAATTTAATATGAAGAAATCAGAGGTTAGTATAGAGAACAATGGGGCAATCTTCCTAAAAGTTCAATTTAGTTTTTGAAAGTTCACATGTAAAGCAAATGTAAAGAAATGTATAGATATGAATACCCTGTGGTAATACCAGGAGGTGATATTTATGAAAATCCATCCAGTTTTGAGTTCATCAGCAGGTCAAGTATGAAGAGAGCTCAAGAGAAAAACTACAGTGTTCATAAGTTGAATTTAAGTAAACATTCTCACTTACCCCTTGGCCAAGTGCAACCCGCTCCAATGCCTTTAAGGAGAAAAAACAAGACAAAGACTTTTGATATATTTAGTCTAACTTTTTAAGATTTATAAAAGCATAAGATTTATAAAGTTATAAACACACTGTATAAGGTTTTTGGAAAGATGAATTCAGTGATAAAAATGTAAGTCAACACAATTAAAATCTTCAATATTAAAAATGTTAACTAGTATACTTATATAATTTAATACTAATTTATAATGGGTATGTGTCATGAATATAAACACATATATGCTCCAATTATACATCTTGCATTTCAGAAGGACCTAGAAAATAGAAAAGAAATGAAACAAAATGGTCTTGACTCATGTTTAGTGTAATTAACAATCAACTAAATCCAAAGCTGGTAGTATGTATATATATAGAGAAACACAGATATATTTACATATTTTAACATATTTATTATAATTTTTAAAAAATATTTTCTTATTTGTCAATAGACTTTATTCATTTATATGTGGTACTGAGAATTGAGCCCAGTGCCTCACACATGCTAAGCAAGTGCTCTACCATTAAGCCACAACCCCAGCCCTGTTATAATTTTTAATGATTGTATAATTTTATCTTTCAGAAAACAAAAATGAACACATTATAGTGGGTAGCTTATTTTAGAAAAGTATTTTTTATTTTTAGTCTGCATATATACATATAATCAAGAGTCAGAAGAGAAAGTACTGTAACATATATTTTTACAATTTTATACATATTGGATTATATTTATAGTTGATCTAAAGCAATTTTACAAAATGTTCCTCACATTTCTAATAAATACTCATAATCCAATACTTGAAACTTACATGAAGGGCACCCTCATTGAATATTTAGAGCCAAACAGAAAGTTATGAAGACAGCAGATTTTTATTAGATAATTTCCCCAAGAAGCTAAACAGCAACTGGCTCAGAATAGATTTATTACTGAAGATATAATGAGTTTTCATTTATGGCATTAGTTGTGGTAATTTTAAGATTGAATCTGTGGTGTAAATAGTGGAGCCGGCACAGAGGCCGAGGAGGCTGTGCATACTCATCGAACATGGAGCAAGTAACACGGGAGGTGGCCAGAGGCCACTGAGGCAACTTCCAGCCCACCACTGAGCCAGCGGTGACCCTGGGCCTTTCCCATGAAGTGGGCTAATAAGAGAACCTGTTTTGTGAGGGACAGGTCCTTATGATAGTGACTGCCATGTTGTTAGGGGCCAACGCATGTCAACTCGTCTCATGTACTGGGTGTAGCTGATCTGAGTTGGTCCTTTTAGGTGAGGTCTTTGTGTGACAATCTCAGTGCAGGGTGAAGGTAGGGGCTGTGGTTTGGGATTTGCAGTCTAAATATTTCTAACCTGGAGATTCCCAAGATGGCCGCGAATAGAGTGCATCACACCCGTGTACCGCGCCAATGCGCGGGTGAATAACGAGTTAGAACGACAAAAAACTATCTTGTTAGGAACTTACAGCAAAATGGGGGTGCACCGAAACCTAGAGGA